GCTCACTGCGATATAAAGTCCTGCAGCTCTATGGCTAGAAGCAGAGAGAAATTGTATTTTTTACAGTATAGGAAAGTTAAAATCCCATAAAACAACAAAAAAAAAAATAATTTTTGTTTAATATAAATTAAAAGAACACAAAATCAACATGTAGAAAGTTTTTCCAAGTGTCCACTCATATTACCAGTGAATTTTTATTTTTAAAACTGTACATCGTATAAACGTTTCACTACTTGCAATGTTATCTAGTTTCCATAATTGTCTGGTGCTTGCTCTGTGTCTTCAGTCTTCAGTTCAGTTCCATCCCTTTCAACCAGAAAGTCCCTGAATTCTTAGCCTTCAACTACGTCTAAGTCGCTCGTGGCTTCACTTTTGTGCCAATGAGCTCAGAATTTGTAGTTTTTTTCTGACTCTGGTTAAAGCAAACGGTTTGTTTTTGCTATTTTTTATTTTTTCGTAATGAGACATATGAAATGAAGTGATTTTGATGAAATGTCACAATCTGAAGCTTAGATTTGATTCAAAACGGGACAGCACATTACAGAAGATTAGTTCAAGGACTGTGGGAAAATTGACAATCCGATGATTTTCTATGTCTTTTTTAAAGCTATTTTTTCTTTTAAAGACAACATGGCTTTTAAACTGGGTTCAGCGGGTTACCTTACTGCTAATGAGTCTGTTCAGTAGCCTGCAGTAGTGGATTGAGGTCAAACTTTGCATCGCCCTGCCGTGAATGTGTTGCAGTCCCACGTATGTGAACCATTAATAGACCATTTTAAAATAAGCTTTTTGTATTAGATTTTGTTAAAACGATATCTGTGAAGCACAGTTTCTATGCTTACGGAGAAGCAAATTTCTCTGATATGCCGTTCTTCGGCTTGATCAGTAACGTCTGACTCTATTCTCTTCAGAGCTGCTGTGCTCACTGTGTGGACAAGACAGTCAGGATCCACTGCGAGATCTCTCAGTGTGACAGACATTAAACTGTAACAAGTAATTGAGGAGAAATGGTTTTTCCTCAGCAAAGTGTTCCTTTGGAACAAAGCGGAGTCTACACGACCCAACTCATAAACACATTATGTAAATATGCCAACAGTTGTATCCGCGCTTCAGCAGGAGTTTGTGTCTGTTTGTGTTGAGTTTCTGGGAAATCCGCGTTTCTTCTTCTGCACGAGTCTGTCACGGGCAGATACAGGGTTTACGCTTGTTATCTGCAGAAGCCTGATTTCATAGTCTCATACTAGCTCTCTTACATCACTGCATTTGATGGTTATTAATCTTTGGTGTGAGATGTTTTTGTCATCGAGCTGAAGTGCTAAAGCTCCACAGAAAAAACAGCTTCAACTTTGTGACGCACTCTGAGCTTTTGATCTTTTGTCTGCCATTTTAATATAGAGTCATGTTGTTTTCTTTACGAGTAGCTGGACTCCATTATCAGTCGTATTCGGGTGAGTTCTTGGAAGCACCCCTTGAGATGCAGTTTTCTGGTTCTGGGATACCACAGTGTTTAACTCATATGACCCAGCAGCATGCTCCTGCAACTAACTTGAACCGTTGGAAGGAATTAAAGCCAAATCCAAGAGAGTGCCTGAATAAAAACCCACTGTGGTAATAACAGCATATATTTCTAAACCCACTATGTCAAATTGGAGGTCAGAAATGAAACCCAAATGGAGTAAATGCCTTTAATAGTGGCTTTTCTTCTTCTTTTCAATAGCGATTTACATACAACACTTGAAGAAAAGCCTCCTTCATCTTAAACAAAGACTCCCCCAGAGTTTATACCCTGCCATGCTTTTGGATCTGCTGTGAGGCACTATTCTTCCTTTTATTCTGTGTATTTTGTTTCTTATTTTCTTCTGCTTTATTGTCTTACCCCCCATCCTTTCATGGTCAATTTGAATTAAGCCGCTCTACTTCTTAAAAAACAAAACAATGCATTGAGTCCAGTCTTTCCACTGCTTGCCTCGGCCTGAGAGACAGCTGTCCACGGTCATTTTGGAATTAGCTGACGTCCTCATGAACACTTTAGGAAAGAAAAGGGTAGTTTTGACTGCCCTGTTGCGTGTGGTGCTTCTGCTCTATTCACTGAGTATCCATCAATAGTCTTCTTTTAAGAGCCTCTTCTATTCATTTGTGTACTCACTCTGCTCTTCTCAGTCTTGCCCCACAGTTACGGTTCAGTTATCTTTGAATTTATTGTGTTGTCAGTTGCGGCTTTTCACGAGTTTGAGATGTTATATTTAAAATCATATACACTCAAACAAAAACAAATGCAGTCGAACTCAACAGTCCTGACCTAAACACCTGTCACTGCAACCGTATCACAAACTACAGCTTCCAAAATTCTGATAAAGTTAAAACAGTTCAAACTGGGGATGCACGATATATCGGCAACCACATTGGTATCGGCCGATATTAGTGTTTTTTTTCCCATATATCGGTATCGGTTCAATGAACAAATTTAGCCGATGTAAAAAACCAATGATCATCTAACATTAGTGCCTTCGTCTCTACATTTGATATCGCTGCTGTTTCACAGATATGTTCACTTAAATAGTCCTGGAAGTAAATATGTTAAAACATGTTTAAATATGTTTTCATTTTGTTGCGTAATAAAGAAGATTATGTGGTCTAATTGGGTATAGGTTTCTTTTGAATAGTTTTCATGTTCTCACAGTGCTTGCTTATGCTCATTTTTCGGTGTGAACAAAAATTGAATATCGACATCAGTGATATCGGTTATCGGCGATATCAAAATCTTAGTCTCAGATATCGGTATCGGCCAGAAATTTTAATATCATGCATCACTAGTTAAAACTGAATATTATCACCTCAATAAAGTTAGGATTTGTTGCAGGAGTGTTTGTTTGAGCTCCAGTTTAGCCCAGAATAAATCATACCAATGCCAAGTTTTGATTTAAAGTGATTGTTTTCTTCTTTTAGATGGTAATGACATAAACAAGTGACAATAGATGATAGATATCAACTGCTTCATGCTCGGATTTCTAAATTTACCTTTTTACTAAAGATACCATGTCCAAAAGTATTCATCATCTTGAAAATTTTGCCAGTTAAAAAAAGAAAAAGCAGCTGAAATGCTTTTTTAAATGGTTCTAGTAATTTCCACCATGTTCCAGAGCATTATAATACACTATAAACTGAAAATAGATAATACAGTAGTTCTTTAGTCAGTCACTTGTCAATATTAAGTAATGACTGAAGCCGAAAAAGCTTAATGAGATTGCTATGAGGGTGCAGAGACAGAGTTATGCGGGAAAGGCCACAAAGTCAAATCAAAGTGTTTTTAAGTGTCAGTGGTCACAGTGCAAAGTGTAATGAAAAAGTACAAGGAGTTCCACACTGTGAATAATCTCTAAGGTCATGGTAGGGAGCTGAAAGTGAGTCCCGCACTGGCACGGATGCTAGTAGCTGACATTCCAGCGGATACTGGACAAAGCCGATCTCTGGCCAGGGTTCATGGTGCCTGTCCTCTCCAAGGCACAAAAAGCTCACCCAGCCTTTGTGAAAGCTCACCTGGACAACAAAGTACATTTTTGTCATTAGTTTTGTGGTTGAATAAGACTGAAATGAAAGGATTTTGACTCAAGGACTTCTGTTTAGTGAACGAAAAAGAAGAAGCAGCAGCAGTCAGCTCCAGTCACCCCCTCGCCACAGTCAAACATGGTGGTGAGATTGTAAAGTGTTGGAGGCATTCTGTTCAGCTGATGAGCCAGACAACCTTGTCAAAGTAAACAGCATCTAAGATTCTGGAGGAAAACATCAGACAGTCTGCAGAAGAATTTGTGGTTTAGTAGCATTGGAGCTTCCAACAAGACAATGATTTGGAATATAGGTGGTCAGCAAATGGCTGAAAGAAAACAACATTTTGGAGTCCAGACCTGAATCCCATCAAGAGTCTGTGGAGAGAACTGAAGACCAGAGTGATGACAAAGAAACCTTCAAACCTTAAAGACCTGGAGATCATCACAGAAAGGAACAAAATCCCAGTGGAGACACAAAGAAAGCCTGTTAGTAAGAAGAAGAACCATTTGATGGTGAATAATAAAGGCTTTGCCACTGATTGCTGAGAAAGGATAACTTTGAACGTTTATCCATCCATTATCTATAGACCGCTTAATCCTCACTAGGGTCGCGGGGAGCTGGAGTCTATCCCAGCTGACTTAGGGTGAAGGCAGGGGACACCCTGGACAGGTCACCAGTCTATCACAGGGCTACACTTAGAGACAGACAACCAAGCACACTCACATTCACACCTACGGACAATTTAGAATCACCAATTAACCTCAACATGTTTTTGGACCTTGTGGGAGGAAGCCGGAGAACCCAGAGAGAACCCACGCTGCACGGGGAGAACATGCAAACTCCATGCAGAAAGATCCCGGGTGTCCTCACCGGCGACCTTCTAGCTGCGAGGCAATGATGCTAACCACTGCTCCACCTTGCAGCCCCCAACTTTGACCGTGGCATTTAAAAAATATATAAAATTGGAATAAAAATGAAAAACAAGACATAGACATGGTCAGAATTTAAATTAACACCTCAAACAAGATAGATGGTCATCTTTTGTCACTTGTTTCAGTTATTTTCACCCAGAAGAAACCTGCTAGTCAAATGAATATGAGCTATGAATAAAAATTTGGCAAATAGGTTGGGGCTTAATCGTAGGTATACCTACGGCAGTGAAACCGTCCATAGTTTTATCCCAATTTCAAAGCAGCGTTTAAAGGCAAATTAAAACTTAGTGTAAATTGCTGCAATTTTAAAAATGTCATTTCTTAAATACAGAATTATTTAACGGTTGTTTTTTGTTGTTGTAGCTTCAGTGGTTAATACACAAAAAAGCAAAAATTCAACAGAACAAGACAAACCCTAACCCTGGGAGAATACTGCTCTTTTTTTCGCAGTGCCGACGGTGAAGGTGCACGTCCACGTCTTTCTCCTGAACTCTTTCTCTCATCTGTTTTCTGTCGCTGCAGGTGTCTTAATGCGTGTACCTACTGCAAGACTAAGCACGCTAGAGGAGACCTGGCCAGCTATCCCATTGAGGAGCTGGTGGAGAGAGCCAGGCAGTCCTTCCAGGGTGAGTACTTCCATTTTTTTTTTATACATAGTCACGACATGATTTTGAATTATGGTGTTGATATATGTCATTAAAAAAAAAAAGAGGTACTTCAGTTGCCATAAGGGTCAGTAAATGTCTGACAAATAGACTGATTAATACACCTCATTTATATGCTGTAAATTTGAGGCTAAATAGACTGTTTTCGGTTCATTATTTTGTGTGTCTGCCCTTAAATGTGGCTCTTGGTATCAGTTAAGTTCAGACTCGCTGTGGCTGGAGTGTGTTGCGTGTGTTTGTGTGTCCTATTAAGAGGGGGAGGTTTTAGTAACACATGTTGATGTTTTTGTTCTTGGGTAGAGGGTCCGGCCAGTTGGCTCTAGCTTGATGCCAGAGGAACAGCTGTTGTGCCCTGGCATCTGTTCCTTAAGAGCACATTCCCAGAATCCCCAACTGCACAGCAGGCCGAGCCTCTATTAGAGCCCCAGGCGGGTCAGTCAAGGGCAAGTCTGCACATCGATAACACAAGCGGGCAGCTATCTCATCGAGGAGCTGTCATTGAGTTTATGGCTTTTGTATTGCACGTTGAATTGGCACATATTTTTTTTTAAAAATCTACTCGTGCACAATCGTTGTATTCCCTTTGTAGAAACGTACCCTAAAAATACAAAGACATTTCATTGCTCATTCACATATTTTCTAAAACCATGAACATTTTTTTGTATTAATAATATCTTGGGCGTTTTTTGTCCTTCACCACTATGGAACAATGGTTAGAAGTAGAGAGGACCCTTATTTTAAGTGATAATAACATAAATCATACAAAAAAAAGTTGAATTTCTTTTGTTGTTTATTATGCAAAAAATGTTAAAAATGCAACAATTTCCAAGTCCTGTATACCATAAAGTATACAGACATATTTTGCTTCTTACATTTTTTATAACCTCAACAAACTTTGGGTTTTTCCACACTTCTGTTCACATTAATTCACTCAATATGTTGGATTGTGTCTTCAGACAGCTTGTTCCTTTATATGCCGCATTTGTTTTATTGCTCGAGTATGTTTTTATTTTCCTCTCGATCTCTCTAATTTGTTTCCATGCATGTCTTCTATCTGATCTGTGTAAACACTGCCTGCAGCTCAGCCGAGAGTCACTTCATTTTTGTCATGTGACTGTCGGTCACAGCTGGCTCACAAGTTGCCCCGAGGAGGGATGAATTATTATGTTTTTTATTTATTTAGATATTGATTTATTTTACAGACTGGTGTTCGGGTAAATGGTTCATTTTAAATTACACATTTACAATAAAGTTATTATAACTTAGATCTGGTTAAAACTTCACATGGAACTGCAGAATTAGCTCCAGGACAGTCATAAAGATAAAAAAAATAAAAATCCAACCAGTTGTTCTGTTTTTGCAAATTCTGCCTCTGATAAATGGCATCATTTTGGAAATTTTATTTTTTAATATATATTATTTTAAAGCACAACATGCCTTTCAAACCTGTCAACAGGTGTAGGGGTTCAGGGGGTTAAATCCTGTTGGTTAGTATTGAATTTTTAAAATTTTTTATTGAATTGAATTTCCCTTCTGGGATAAATGAAGTATTTTTCATTTCATTAGTAGGTGTCAGAGACATGAAAATCTATCAAAACTTTTTTTTTTTCAGACTGACTAAACTACCCAGGCCAATTCTTTTATTCATTTATTTTTTTTCCAAACTGCAGTCATCTTATTTCTACTGTCACCAAAATGTGCTCATGTGTAGGAAAAACCTTCAAGTGAACAAACACGCTGCCTACTTATTCAGCTCATTGCCTTCATCTTCTCCATCTGAAGGTCTTGTACAGAATGTACAGAATGGCTTTTATTTTAAAAAAAGAAAATGTTCCAGCAACACATCTTTATTTTTTCACGTGTCCCATCTGACGAATAAACCAGCAGCACCCGACTGGCTGTGAGATGCCAACAGTTGTTTGTTGTGCAACTCAGTTTTTTAGGAACTTCCTGCTTCAAAAAGCACTTGATAGTCAGCTGATGATATAACTTTTGAATAAAATGCTTTGTTACAGAGAGCTCTCAGGATTTCTTGGTCCAGAGATTCATGCTGGCACACAGAGTTAAAAAACAAAAACAAAACATACAGTAATAGCTGTGTTGCCTTTTTCGACACAATATTACAACTGAGAACAGCTTCCAGAGCAGCAATATTTTAAATGTCTTTCTCAGTGTTTGCAAGTTCAAGAGATAAGTTGGAACTTTTTTCCCCATGTGGTCTATGACACAGAGCTTTTCTGTTTGACTACTGCAACTTAACTGTCAAATATAAAATTGCTTCATTTCCCCCCTTGCAGCACCAGCGCTGCCGATGCAGCCGTTCAGTGATATGAACAAGAGGCCTAACATTTTTAAAGCGATGCTGGTGTTGGTCTGGACACAGCCTCGGTTTATTACTAGAATATATACCCTTGACAAGGACACGGCTTTCTAAATCCCACCCAGAACCCTCTAAAACAGCTGCATCCATGCCACTGCCACAGGGTGGGCAGTCAAGGGCAAACTCACCAGCTGCTTGAACCTCGGTGTGTGTTTTTTGCACATGTGTGAAGCAGGAAAAAACAGAGTGAAAATACACCTGCTCTTTGCACTTGTTTCAGAGAAGTTTAAAATGCAGGGCGTGCTGATATTTTTGTCAGACCCTGTGTGGCTCATATTTGCTGTACCAGCCTACAAATACTGCAGGTACACATTGTAGAACAAACACTTATCCGAGCAAAGCATGAAGTACAGGCTTCATGACACAGTAGGTAACATGCTTTAAATAAATTCAATGATAAAGGAATCAATCAATCAATCAAAGTAATAAAGCAACATGCACTGAAGCAGATTTTGGACTGCAGTGAACTTTTTGGAAACACAAGTGTGTGTGTGTGTTTGTTGGAGGTGGAGGTTAATCTGTCACAATGCAGGAAACATGAGTGTCTGAGACAGTTGGATGTTTTCTAAAAGAGAAAAAGGAAGCAGGAGGTTACCGCCTGGTATGATTTACAGACAGTTAGAATAAGACAGAAACAGAGACGAGGGAGGAGAGGCGAGGTTTCACTGTTGAGACACTGTTCTTTATTACGCATATAGTCAGAATTAAAAGCTCAAATACTATTGAAAGTAAGTAAAAATGTAAATGTGTTCTTCTTGCTGTGACACAGTTTGTCAACCCACGTGTTGTACACAATAGTATGGATGTTGTCACCTTCTGTTTTAGGACAAGTTTTATCCAAAAAGTGATATGACACAAAAACATTACACCATGGATGCTGTGGAGCAGGTGATATTTGGTGCAGCAGACAATTTGTGTGACAGTGAAGTGGTGCAGCGTTGCTAGTTGAAGCTCTTGTAACTTCCACTGCTATCCAAATGTAAAGAAACTGGTACATATCCACCACTACTGTTGTTGTTGTTGTTGTTGTTGTTGTTGTTGTTTATGGCACATGTTTATTGATTTCCTAAATTTTCCAAATTTCTGATTTTGCAGAGTTTTCAAAAATCATCCCGTTCTAATAAACTAAAACTCTGTTTGCGTGTAGATGAGAGGTTCGAACTTAGAGATTTTTCGCGCACCATACTTAATTACCTCCACACACAAACAAACAAACAAACACACACTCACTGGCGAGCGCGATAAGCCAGTTTCATCTCAGAAATAATTTGGCGTCCGCACCCTGTGGCCATCCAATATATAGATTTTGTCTGTTTCACATAATATATTTTGCTTTTGTTAAACAAATGGAATCATCCAGCACATTTATGAATCAAAGGCTCCCTGTTTTCCTCCATCAAATATTTTTGTTAGGTTTAGAATTACATTACGGCAGTGCAGCAGCGCCCCTTTCTATCTATTCGCCACCTTTTTTCTTATCTCAAACAAATTGAGCCTTACAAATAGACCCTGCAATTTGATTTGCTATTTGATGTATTTTGAATAAAAATAAGCTGCAAGTATGAATGCTAATTTTGATTGGCCAGTCAGCCAGCGTTGGGGGTATTTGATTGGTTTATCTCAGGGAACTTTGAAAGGATTTATGGGATTTATTCAAATACGATTTGAGGTAAATAGCTCTCATTCCATGTGGAAAAAAAAAAAAAAAAGCCAGAGAGAGAGAGAGAGAGAGAGTGTGAGTGCACAGCTTTTAAAATAATCTGAATTATTCAAATGTATGAATGTATAATTTTTAACATCAGAGGGGTTTGTTAATGCATGCAGGTAATGGAGGCTGCGGATGTCATAGGAAATGACAAGGTTGTGGGTGTGTGCGACTGCGATGGGTGGGGAGTGGAGGGTTTTGCCTGTGTAGTTTTGTGTGTCACAGACGCATGCTGGGAAACTGATTGAGTGTGGGTCTGTTTGTGTGTCAGTTGGAAAGTGTGTGTCTTAGAGAAAAAAATAAAAGAAATCAGGAGCAGAGAAATATTAGAGTAATATTCCTCGAGTGTGAATGTAGAAGATGGACGGTAAACATCGCCTCGCTTTCCTTATCGAAACATCTCTGAAACCATCGTCCTTTTTTTTTTTTTTTTTCTTTCTTACTGACCCACTCTATAGCTGTTCCTAATGGAAATCTATTAAATCTAAACTCCGATATGTGTTCTGTCTTCCGTCACTGTCCACCAACTGTGATGCCACCAAAAAACCTGTAAGGCATCTCTCAATTTCAGGCAAAATTCTCATGATAGGGTCGTTTTAAATTAGAAAAAATACGACACTAACTAAATTCTGCCAATAGTGCCCTCAGTGGTCATGTGACGAGGTGGATGATGTGTAACCAGGCCTGTAATTAAGCGTGAGTGTATGTGCCTGGGGACTGGACGTGATAAATATTCAGTTCCAGTAGAAATGAGTCCAACTCTACATGTTACAGAGGCATAGTGGAGACCAATCTAACCAGGTGGACCTTTGTTCCTTAAAAATGCATCACATTATGTCACTTTTGGAACTCCCTATTTGAAGTAAAATTGACTTCATCAGTAATGTTTATTTGGAAACTGAGTGTATTACAGCCTGAAACCTGCCAGTAGCTTGTCCTGTAAACATGGTGGCTACCCCGAGCTTTCAGACACAGCGAGGTGCCCGGGCCTGCGTAGACGGAGAACTCTATTTTTGTTGTGGTCTTCAAACCCCCACTGTGGCTGACGCCTTGTCATTTTAAACTGTCAGTCGGGTGTTTTTGAAATGGCCCTGTCTAAAACAGGATGTGACGCTTCAGAGATACAGACACACTGCTATCATTCCCACATGACACACTACATTAGTGTTTGACATGCGTCTCAGCGATCTCGACGCAGCTGGAGTTTTGGGCTTTAGCTAGTGTTGGCATAATGAAAACGCACAACTGAAACCTCATATCACAGTTATTGCTTTTTTCCAGAACTGACAGCTGCTGCTTTTCTCCCTTGTGTAGGATGTTATTTTATTTATTTATTTTCTTTTTTGATGCACAAGATTCTAAGCAAAGCGCCGAAAGTGCAGCGTAATGGTTCAACTGACAACATAATCAAAATGTTGGAGTACATTTTTTAAACTTTGACGTCACAGGTTGTTTTTTCTGACTTTAAAGATGAACACACCATCGAATGTTCACTGATATCATCTGCTTTTTCCCTGTCATTTCCACATGACTGCTGGCATCAGTGTTAAACGCAGATATTAGCAGAAATGACACTGCTTAGTTCCTTGGCTCGAGCTTGATGACATATGTCAGGTAGCCGCGGATAGACAGATATATGGGCTATCTTGTTGGCTAGCTCCAACATCTGTGACAGGTGTCAGCTCCTCTTTACCTCTGCTGCTGCAGCTACGTGACACATGGACAGACAAGGCTGCCAAAGTTTTTCGAGGTATGATCCTTTATGGGTGAGTGGTTGATGCAGGTTGGGTGCAGAGCTGCACGATATATCTCTTCAGCATTGACGCCACAATGTGCGCATGTGCAGTAGTCGCATCGTAGAAGGCAAATTAACTCTACAGCTTTTTGTTTTGATGCTGGATGCAAAAAGGAATCTCACATGGTTGTCATTTTTCATGATTGATCTGCAGGAGATGTCTGTCTAATACAACATAATTTGCACTTTTTCTTCAATATACTGTTTTTTTTTTTTAAACTTCATTCACTAGTTCCTGAGTTTGTGACATGCAAGCTCCACATGTGCACAGGAAAATGAATTAGCAACATGAGAGAAACAGTGAAAATGAAGATTTGGTTGCAAAAACAAATGCAGATTTTGCAACCAAATCTTCCTTTTTTTTTACGGTTTCTATTGTTTGGAAATAAGTGGGCTACAGACACATACTTTGTCGGCAGTGTCTTGCAGTTGTTGCCACCACATGAGGTAACAATCTTCCCTTTAAATATGCATGACAAAGAGAGTGCAGAGCCAGTTCTGAATGCCATCCAAAGCTACTATTTTGGATGCCTTTGCTACTTTGAGACAGGTTCCAAATGACTTGATACCTTTTCCCCACGTGAAAGACATGATGCCAATTAACTAAGTTACCAAAAAGGTTTTAAAAAGTGGTAAGTTACACCATCTCTCATCTCATCTGAAGGTCCCAGAGCTCTGTAAAAAATGCAAGACACAAGGTGAAACAGAGCTGTCGCCAGTGGAACATTATGTAGCTACAGTGGAGCAGCCGGATAACAGAATCCTTCATGAGTCTGAATCTACTTTATTAACGGTGACTTCCAAACTAAAAGTCCAAACTTGAAAATGTAATTTTTAGGCGATAAAACCAAAAACAGTCTGGCATTATCTGCTTGAAGCGAACATGCGCTTGACAAGTCACACCCATGCAATGTTTGCGAAACACTAAACGCTGGCCCTGTCTAAAACAGGAGGGTTGTTGCCCAGAGCAACATGACGCCTTTGCATATTGCATACAACGTTTTTCGTGCTGTATATATTGAGTAATGTTTGTTTGAATTGCATCTTAAACTAGATTACAACACAAATTAGGATGGTTGGTTGTCAGAGAAAAGGTTGTAGAGTATGGAGAGCAGGGTAACAAAGAAACCTGGCAGACGTGCAGCTATGCATTTTAACATTATAACATATTTTCTCTGCAAATTGGAAAATGGTTATAGATTTGTGTGTAATGCAAATTGTACACTTGACATTCATTTAGGTAAACTAGATGAAGGTAATAAGATAAGAAAGACTAGCGGCGGATGAGCAGAGCACTGGAATATTGATAGAAGAACATTGATCATAGTTGAGTCACCAAAGTGCTTCCTATTGGAAAGAGCAGTGGAAAACTGCTGAGCATGCAAGCATGAACACAAATTTCCTGTGTGTGGAGGCAGTCAGATTCATTATCCTCTAGGAAAGCTCTCATGGAGAAGCTAAAAATGGATTTTCTTAATCGCTTCCAGGCCGATAACTTGCTGATATTTTTCACACAGACAGAGGTTTCTCCATGTGTGCTCTGACTGAGGAACGGTTCAGGCTCCAGTTTTTCATCATCTGTCCGTTGTACGGGCCAATAAACTCGAAACAGACTTCAGCGACACACAAGCACCAGAGTTCAAACACGTGTCACCGCCACCGAAGCATCAAGAAGCGATAACAAGTCTTATATGTCTTGGTTTAATTTGTCGTTGGCCATTGTTAGGCATTACTGTGTGGTTTCACGCGTCGAGCATGACGCTGCAACAGATGCATAACTCTGTGGGTGAAGCACAGCACCAGAGAGGCTTCAGGATTTTCTTTCCACTTGTACATTTTCCAGTGCATGTCACACGTTTTGTCCGAATTTTTTGATCTGCACAGAGGTCAGATTTGTGCTTTGTGAGAATAATTATGTGAGACAAACAAATCCAATAAAGTCAGGAAGGCTTCGTAGCACTTTTGTCACAATGTTGTATATTTCTTTACGCAGACGATAAGCAGACATTTGCAGCTATAATGGAAACTCGGTGTAATGATTCATTGATCTCGATGAGTGCAGTCGGTTCGATAATCATTGTTCCAATATGCTCGATGCAAAGTGAAAACCAAAGTGTACAGCGGCCAAGAAAAGACGATGTGGAGGATATTTACTCCCCTCTTGGGAAAAAAAATCTCCCTTGTGGAGATCCTTTGGATTTTGGAGAAAGTATGCGTCAACAGACAAAGCACATGATGAACCTGGTCAGGCTCCTAAAAAGGAAGCACAGCATTGACCCTGGTTCTTGCGTGTCAATTGGCTGCTCATGAGCTTTAACCAGCTATTTCCCTAAAACCTGAACAACTAAGAGCAGTGAGATTGTCATGGCTGCTGTTTCATATTTAATATTTTGTGTGACTGAAGATTTACTGAAAAAATCCTGCTGAAATGTATTTTCAAAAATGGGGGGGAAATGTTGTATAAGTTTTCTTTAATAGGACGTGGAAATGGATTAGTGTCATAAAAAAAGCTGTAGAATGGTGGGATGCCCTCGTTTATTTTTTTTTGTTTGATGTAGTTTATTGGCTTGGTTCCATGTCATATGACTTGTAAGTTTCTTTCACAGTGTATATGGGAAGACACGAGTCACAGGACTTTCACATAACAGAGTAGGGCTATAATCCCATATTTTTTGGTGTTTTCAGTTAATGTTGCTTTGGTTTACCTAGCAAAACGTCCTTGTAATAACTTTATTGTCATCCAAACAATTGATTTGTCATACTGTGATGTTAGTCAGTATTTTGCTCATCCGTACTATGCTTAAGGTTTTTCAAACTCATTCGTGATTACACTGTTTTCCAATTTGCTCTGCTGACAGAAGCTATTGTTTATTGAAAGTGGACGCAATCTCAGTGAAAATCGGTACAATCTGTGTTTCCAGCCTCAGTAATTCATTTCAGTTGATGTCTTTCACACATTTTCACTCGTCAAACACAAACGTAATTAATAATGCTAATCATGAGTGCATTAAATCTAGATGTTCCAGTTTCAGGGCCTTGTGTTGTTCATGCTGGCTCAGTGGCAGAGCTGACTGAGACACAAAGATGGAAGTGAGCCATTGTTAATGTTATTAGTTCCACCTGTGCTTTTCTTGCTATGAAACCTAATAGTAGAACACATGAAAATGCCATGAAAGAAGGTTTATTGTCAGTTGTTTTATTTGATTATCAGGATAAGACACAGAAGAAACAATAAGATCACAGCTTTGAAGTAAAATGAAGTCTACAACAGGCTACATAGGCTGTAAAGAAGTAAAATATTCAGGTATACCAGTAAACCCAACATAAAGCAATACAGACGGTTGACAGGAGTGGACACCTAAGCCTGCCACCCCCTGGTTTCGTAGACTGGTTGTGGGTACGTGGAACATCAACCCCACTGGTGGGAAAGGAACCTGAGCTGGTGTGGGAGATGGTGCGATGCTGGCTGGATGTAATTGGGCTCACCTCCACTCACAGAGTTTTGGAACCAAACTCCTGGAGAGGAGTTGGACTCTCTACTTTTTCGGAGTCGGCCAGGGTGAGAGGCGGCTCAGACCCTGGCAGAGCGCTGCTTTGTTGAAGTTCTCCCCAGAGAATGAGAGGGTCGCCTCTCTGCGACTGAGTGTTGAAGAGGGGAAAACTCACAGTACTCGGCCTGCTTGGAGTCTCTGAGTGGTCTCCTGGAAGGGGGTGCCTCCTGGGGACTACAAAGCTTTCGTGGGGGACTTCAACACTCACATAGGCATTGATGGAGAAACCTGGTGGGGGGTGATTGAAAGGAACAGCCTGCCTGATCCGAACCTGAGTGGTGTTCTGTTATTGGACTTCTGTGGTAGTCATGGATGGCACAAAGTGAAACACATTGCTGATGGGTGTTGGACTCCTCCAACAGGGCTGACCTTTGTCTCTGATCCTGTTCATGGTCTTCATGGTCAGGATCTCAAGGCAGCACGGATGAGGAGGGTGTCCGGATTGTGGACTTCAGGATCGTGTCTCTGCTATTTGTAGATGGCATGATGCTGTTGGCTTCATCAGACCGTGACCTTCAGCACGCACTGGAGTGTCTTGCAGCAGAGTGTGAAGCCTCTGGGATGCAAGTCAGCACTTCTGAGTCCGAGGCCATGGTTCTCTGCCGGAAACCGCTGGATTGCTCCCTCCGGGTTCGGGGGAAGTTGTTTCCCCAAGCGAAGGAGTTTAAGTATCTCGATCTTGTTCACGAGTGATGGGAAAATGGAGCGTGAGGGGGACACCCTGCTCGGCGCAGCATCAACAGTAATGCTGGTGTTGCATCGGACTGTCATGGTGAAGATGGAGCTGAGCTGGAAGGTGAAGCTCTCAATTTACCAGTTGTACGAGCCTCTGTGGGGTGGTTGGGTCAGCTTTAGAGATAGGATGAGAAGCTCTGACATCCGGAGGGAGCTTGGAGACGAGTCGCTGCTCTTTTGAAAATAGCCAGTTGAGGGGTTCGGACATCTGATTGGGAAGCCTCCTGGAAGACTTCCTTTGGAGGTTTTCTGAGCACGTCTGCCTGAGAGGAGACCACGGAGTAGACCCAGAACTCACTGGAGGGATTATATTTCTCATCTGGCCTGGGAATGCCTTGGGATCCCCCAGGAAGAACTTGAAGCTTTGCTGGGGAGAAGGAGGTCTGGAATGACCTGCTTCGTCTGCTGCCTCCGCGACCTGATCCCGGATAACTGAAAGAAAAAATGAATGGATGAAACAAAATTTTTTTTTCTTTTTTGCTGAAATATGCAAACCTATTTCAACTACTTACATTGGAAGTACTACATATTTCCACTGTGATAAAGGCAACTGCATCACAACAATTTGTTTTTCCTGTTTGCTGAAAGTTCAACAAGGTTCAGCTGTGGGTAAAACGCTGCACTGTTCACTCCCTTTATCTCATTTCACTAATTGTACATCCTCGACTCGGCTTTAAGTCACAACACAGCAAAATGTGACGCAAATGTACAGAGTATAAAATAATCGTGGCACACAAAGTAGTAATATACAAATAAAGAGTGACATATGTTTATATTGAATGTCATATACACACATTTGTCATCCTGCTGCTGACATGTTTTGTATATCCCAGCTCTGTGTCGCCTCTTTTATCTCAGGAGTGCAGAAAAGACTTCATGGAGGATACACCTGTGCATCCTCAGAGCTCCTCCAGCAGCCTCCTCCATCCTCGATATACATTTTTAGGAACTGAGACGTCCTTTGTGATGATGCACTCAGATCGATTTCCGGCTCACTGGCCAGAGGACCGAAGAGGATGAAATTAGTAAAATGAGACAAGCCTACTGGCACTTTGTACCACATGACCAGCTGTCACACTCCAAAAATCCTGCTGAGGATGTTGTTGTAAAGGTGAAACAGAAAACAACTAAGCTGCCCATCCAAATGACTTCAGGCTTTACACTGCACTTCCTCAGATCTCCAGCAACACAACCAGCAAATGTGAAGTAGACCAGATGAACGGATATGTTGAGAAAGTTAATAAACAGACATGAACATGATACAGTTTGGTTGCGTATTGGAGTGCATCTTTGTTTCATTCTCAGCTTCACAAATCAGTCATCTATTAGACACCAAAGAAGAGCGAGGACAGTTAATGTCTCCTTGTTTCTCAAACCAAATTAGGCATCTTTTCGTCCCTTTGCTCCGAAAGATCAACTGCTGTTGTCCTTCATTTGCGTCTCTGCCTCTGTATTCTGGTTTGACCTCTTTTAATTCTCTCCCTGGGCTGGACAAAAAGACAACAGAGGGTGGTGTGTGTGCATGTATGTGTGTACACGTCTTGTCCTGTGATTTAGTGCCAAGCTGGCAGCCAAGAGCCGTGAATAGGAGGCCCTTTCACACAAAGAGAGCGCACACACACACACACACACACACTCGCAGACAGACACACACACACGTACACACACACGCACAACTCACAGTCATTGCCAGACTGCAGGCCACCAACCGCACACCTGGCATGCTGCTATTATGTCACCAGTGTGTTGTGTGTCTGTGTGCACTTGCGTGTGTGTGATTGTGTAAGTCCAGCAGACACCATCTGCTCTGTCCTCTGTGAACTTGTGTCCACACCTCTCCTCCTCTGCCTGTCCCACTTGGAAATATTGTCAAACCTCTGACAAATACTGTACTTGGTAGTCCTACTGTGACACTAAATGTTCTGCGTTGTGTTGCTACTAAACAAGCAATACACATAAAGTTTTATACGTAGTTTTATCGCATTTGATTACTGTAAGTGCTCATATTTATTGTATACTAAATCTACAACTTTATACTACAGTACAAGAGAGCTACATCAACAATGCCCTGAATAATAAATTCAATACTATATCCTACAAATTGTCGTATAAGGTTTTTCTCTCTGTAGAATAGATCACTGAGTATTTTAAGAGCACTGGAATCAAGTTAAGCAGTTGCGCTTCATAAATTCTGAGAAGGCAATGAATAGCTGAAGATGAGCAACAGATGAAGATATTGTTTGGATTGTTGAGGGGGAAAAAAAACAACATTTTACAGTTTTAATTTTAGTTTCTCCCTCCCCCCTGAAATATCTTTCTTCCCCTTTCTCACTTCCCTTTCCTTTTATGACATGTTTTCTTCTCCTCCTGCCCCCTTCTGCTCCATCAGTTTTGT